GCAGCCACATAAATAGGATCTGCAAGAAGTTTACAGATTCATGAGCTGGAGAACGACTATAAGAATGAGAGAGGTACATGAAGTTTCTTGGGAAGAGGACGGACACACCGCCGGCAGCTGTAGCAACATAATACAATGACCCTGTAAGAGCAGCCGTGATAGCAGCAGCAAATGCTTGAGCAAAGGGGACAAACAGAGGCAGAACACCAGTCTAGATTGATTGGAGAAATCATAATTACATTCATCAGCTCTTCCTTGTTCATAATGATTAAAGTAAGTCTGTGTCGGTCGGAAACAACATACCAGAGATGTGATTCCATGTGCATCTTTCATGAGCTCGGTGCCCCTCAAGAACACATCAGCCATTGTTCCCTGTAATTGTTGCAGGATTAGATGAAAAGGGAGCGGATTTGGACAAGCAGTAGGTCAGAGATCTCTATATCATCGTTTACTGTGGGGATCGATCGAAGAAAGAGAGTTCCTTTGTTGTACCAAGGAATTACCTGAACAGCAACCCGATAAAAGAGCTCCTCCCCGATTGAACTCGCAGTAACAATGAGCATGAGCTACAAGAACATCATGTTCTTAGCGATCGCCACTCCAAGATACAGGAGATAAATCACAGAGAATACCTGCCATGGTGACATGCCATGGAAGAAGCTCTGGAGCTCCTCGTCCTCTACATCTCTAATAGCACGAGCATGAGGTGAATGCTTCACGACCTCGTCCTGTGGGGGGTAACAATGTCCGCTAGAAGGTGATGTTTACTTATGACAGAGTCACGGATTTGCAGGGAGGAGTTGACATGAGCGACAAAGAGGCATCTTTTACGTACATCTAGGATGAAGAGCAGAGCCACTATTGGTGGAGCAGCATAACAGAGGCCGCTCACGATCGCTTCCGGCGACGGATGGAACGCGCCTGTCCAATCCGTCCCCGAGATGGCGCATACGAACTTGCTCGCGAGCGCCATGGCTCCGTATATGCCTGCTTCGAACAACGAGATCAGTAATTCTATGTGTGCATTTCTTTTCTCACACTAAAATCATCGAACAGAGAGTGTTCGATCGGCAACAACGAATTCTCTGTCTTTTTTGACCTATCCATGCATTTACAGCATCGAATCAGACGTTGCAGTGTAAGAGAAACCACGAAAAGGAAAGCAAATGGAATTCGCTGGCTCAAACCTATCCCGTAGCTAAGCCTGACGACGGTGGCCAGCTTCTCCAAGACTGAGAAATCGTAGTCCCCGCCGCCAGCGAGGCTCCGCTCGACAACGGTGGTGCTCGTGGTACCCGAAGATACCGGCGACGCGGACACGTCCATCGCGGGACCGCCGGTGGCGAAATCCCTGCGCTGTGGCTTGTTGGCGCCTGCGGTGTGGATCGGCTCGGGGCTTCCCTCCGTCGACGCATTGATTCTTCTAGACCATCCAGCAACCTTCCTCCTGTCCCGGCGGCAGAAGCCACATCCGGAAGAAGCAGAGGTGGATGGGAAGACGTAGAGGCCACGGGGAGAAGCGACGCAGCTGAGCTCCATTTCAGCTGGAAATTCTTCGCTCTCTTTTCTCGCTTCCTTCTTGTAATTAAGAAGAGAGCCGATCGAAGAAAAGGTTTTAATTACAGGAATCAAAGAAAAAATAGATCTCTTCTCTCTTCCTTCCTCCCCACCAGTTCAACTCGAGGGGCTCATGACGCGTGGGCTATATACAACACGGTGGCCGAGGGATGGGGGTGAACCAGCGGGCGAGCCGCCGCGCGGTTTCGCCAAGCGCACCGTTTGGCGGCGCGGTTCTGTCGTAGGTGTGTATTTGCACGCATGCAGACGCAGTCGTCCCGTTCCCGTTTGCTTTCTTCGATTGGCAACAATGATGGTTGGGAAGGACGAAGCAGGATTCAAGAAACATGTTCCATGCGAACATGTGTATTCTTCCTCACAGGTTTGACAGGGACGGAGGAATTTGCTCCGTCGACGGGCAGCTCTCACCGTGTGGATACTGACGATGCACGTGTGCGACATGGAAGACGACCGACGCCGTCTTGGTTTGCCCCAGAGAAATCGTATTTGGTTTGGCCACTCGCTCCTTCTCATAGGCCGCAAGAAACCACTCATTAGCTGTGGGCGAACTGCGGCATCAAGATTTGTCTGCACACCTTCTGGACGCGAACCGAAGGGTCTATATCTTGTCGGGCCTGTGTTGAGGTAGACAAGCGAGACAGACGCGGAAGCTCATCTCGACAGGAGACGTGCGGAGACCAAAGCATGCCAAGACCATGTCACGTGGGCCCTCATTTATAGCCCGTAAGTACTTATCGACGGCCCATGGGCCCTATTATTATCGAGTCCTCCAAATCTAACTAACAGCCGTAAAGATTCTACATTGCTCATCTGATCTATCGGTCAGACTTATCGAGTCCTCCAAATCTATCAGCCGTAAAGATTCTCACGAAAGGAGCGTACTATTTCTTTAATTCTCCCAGCGAATCTTTGTCCCTTGAATTCAGTTGACGAGTATGTAGTCCAAAGAAAAAGACGGCGTCACTTCTTCATCTTGGAGCGCCTCGTACATTACCATTAACACACACACACATATATATATATATAGGCAGTACCCCACGGCAGAGGACGGTCGCAATAAAGTCTCTCTCTCCCTAGTTTTGGTGCTTATGTTTGTTTCCTAGTCTGCTTGCACACACAGACAGACAGACAGAAGAATTGCAAAGAACCAATAATGGCCTTGTGTTGGAGTCGAGTCCTTTTCCCATTGGAATGTTCCTGTCAAATGGAACAGTGTCAGCGTTTACTTCTTCGGTGGATCGTTACAGTGAATCGTAGCGAACAGTAATAACCATGGAGGAGGATGTGAGTGAGCGATTGTGATACAACTCAAAGAGTTGCACATAATGTGATCGTCATGTCTTGTGATGTCTGATGTTGTCTTGTTGCTGCGGTTGCTCTCGTGAAACTCGAGGAACTTTGTGTACTTTTACCTCGAGTTCGATCTCTCCATCCGCAACAGCTTCCACCGAGAGTATTGCATGCATGCATGCGTGGTTGATGTTTGACAGAATCTTCGTCACCAAACTCAGAAGCCGAATTCTTCGTCCTGAACCTCTCGCGATGTGAATGGAGAGAATCACCTTCTCGATCATGGCATTTGGGAAGTGTGCAGCCATGAAAGAAATCAAAGACAGTGCAACTTCTAGCGTCCCTGAAGCTTCTCCCACCATGACCATTAACCACAGGAAGCATCAGATTAAGACCAAAAGCTCATATGGAGAGAGAGAGAGAGAGAGAGAGAGAGAGAGATTTGAAGGCAAAGTTGTTGTACACGATGGACACCGCTCTTTTCCAATGAATATTCAACTAGATAACGGAAGACTGTCGTAGAATCTAATGTCCATTGGATTATAATGATGCTAAGAACAATGCGTAGTAACAAGGTTATTTGCAATGGTCCTCTCTAGAGGAGATCGTGTCGATAGTTCAGATAGGACATATAAACAAAAGGTACACCTCCAGAATTGTATCGATGCCACTTCACACAGGTACAGAGAGAGAGAGAGAGAGAGAGAGAGAGAG